AAGCTACCATGGGGTCAATGGACCGCTAATAAAAAAGCAGCCTTGTTTCAGGATTCGCCCTCGGACTGCGGCCGGTCATGAGCGGTTCCAGTGGCGGACAGTACAAGTGGTTCCTGTCGAAAAGTGACCATGCGTCGTCGTACGATTTGTTCCCGAAACCATACATCGACCCGAGCACGAAGACCGAGGTCGTCGTATCAATCGAGGACCCCGCCTACCTGCACTGCATCGTGCAGCACCAACGGAACTATCAGGTAAGCCGATGACACTACCGTCTTCACAGCAGTGCCACCGTAATCATACAAAAGTTAAAAGTGGCAAATGAATATAGTCATTCGCTTCGATTGCTCATTTTTTTATGTATTATTTACTTTAGCTTTTCATGTAGAACAAATGTTTTCCGTGCTTCTACTGTTATCCGTGACCTCTTGCTTGGCATTTGGAATTGTACCCACTCATCCTCCAGATTTTTGAACCATTGACCCAGCCAGTTCAATGGTTCATTTCTTCACTGTTCTTCATAATGGTACCCTGCTGTCTTGTTCTGATCAATCACGTAGTCTTCTTTTCGCAGTAATTTCTGGAAGTACACTTTTAGCTAGCTTTTAGAAGCACGTTCACTTTAAGTGATTCAAGCATATGAAACGTTAGATCTATAACTTCGAATCATAGCTATTCTTTGACTTTCAAAGCCTCATACCGGAGTAGCAGATTCGGAAACTGTTTCTTATGATTATGGTAATCTGCCAATCGGATAACTTCCGTGGGTTAGGTTCGAAAGTGCGGCAAATCTGGGTGTTCATTAAAACGAAACATCGGGTCCCCGCCTTATAGACACAGTCTTCTTGCAAAGTACGCTTATCTCCTGTCGTCTTTCGAAGCCATCCATTGCAATTCAGCTACCGCTTAGCCTGAACAATATTGCATTATATGAGATTAGCAGTCTCAAAATCCAAACTAGCCGAAAGTCTCTTCCGTACAGCGGCTAAACTGCAAATCACGCCAGTGGCGACTTTTTTGTTTGTCTCTGCACTGAGCAGGAGATCTGGTATCTTT